ACGTTCGTATTAAACACCAGGAGCTAGATTTGCAGAATGTCGGTGGGACTTAGAGCGCCAAGCTGCCAGCAGGGCTACGTCACGGCCAGGCGTACATTGCCAGTAGCAAACTTGACCGAAGGACAACAGGGTGGTTGACAATGACAGAGATTAACCGAGCAAACAATGCGACAACAATATTGCCTTTGATACTGCGCACTGCATGCTTCGCACCTGCTCGCCATGAGTTATCGGTGCCTAAAAGCAGAAGAGCATACAAGCCCGTACGCACATGTCGCCAACGCTTGTACCCAGAATACTCTGTCCATACACCTGCCCAGCTCGACCTCGGCGTCATGCCCAAAATACGGCGTATGACTTGCCTGCTCATATAGACAATACGCGCTGAGCACTGCTCATCATGCGCTGTGGTGACGGCGGCATGATGGGTTTTAGTCTGCTTGGAGTTGTTGAGAGGAGATAGGCAGGTCTAGGAATCTTCTCAGGCAAGTACTGCATAGCTTTGAAGACAGCTTGTAAGCCAGTGCATCTCATTCCAGAGTGCATAAACGTGCCTCAATGTCCTTCGGTAGCCTGTCAAACTGCTCCTGGGCATGCGCTATGTTAGGGAGATGTGCACCGATTTGAAGCGCAGCAAATATTAAGGGCCTGGGGACGATACTCGCAGGTCAGCTTATGGCGACGCAGTGCCGTTTGTGAGTTGAATGTTCAATTACAGAAGAACAAAGCGGACAGACCTTGCACTCAAGTCCTCAGCTCCTTCAGAAGAACATGCCGGCTGCAATGTGCATCAAGTTGCTCAAGTGTTGTGGGGACTGAGAGGCAAGTACATGGACAAAAACCAGGGTGGAAGAGGCTCGTTGGAGCTCATTGGAGACAGCGCCAAAATTGGCCATCGATGCGCCTTGCCCGAGTTTGATGCGCCAATCTGGACCACCAATCTGGTGCCTCGACGCGACACCAAGTTGCGGCTTTGTTTTGCTTTGCTTTATGCCACAGACCGCGACCACGACCTGACTCATTCCAACGTCCCTCTTCTCCCGTAACTGTTTGCCATTGCCAAGACCCCGCTGGTTCTGCCACTGCTGTTCAAAACAGCCAGCAAAACAGTCAATGCCATTCACATGTGCAATGGCTTCAGAATTTTGTCCCATAGCTTGTCGGGCCCAGCAGGTACTGCTACCACTCATTGCGCTGCTCACGCCATGCCTCTTGTTTATGAACCCCTATTAAATTGCAAGCTAGATACATTGCACCATGCTCACCTTTAGCAGGCGAAGCTTGGTCCTCCCCTCCTTTCGCAGACTACGTTCCTGCAAATTTCGGCATGAAAAGTAGAGGTGTCTCATGCAGTTTGGAGACAGACTCCTCTCCATGCTCAATGCCATGACCTTACTCCGTGCACAACATCAATCAGCAATCGTGATGTTCTCACTTTGTCCTTGTAACCATTTCCAGGTTTTGTGTCCATCCTATCGCACACGTACACTCACAGCCAGCGGACGACAGCCTGCACCATGACCTCTACCACTGCCGCCGATGTCATCTGCACCCATCACACCTGCGATGTTCCACTGCGCAGCTGCTCCTTCCTCCACCCTGCGCATACCGCACCAGAGTTCCCGTCTTTGTATTGCAACGCAAGGGCGCGTAACACACTATGAGCTCCTCGCCTCATTGGGTCGGCCACTTCAGACCCTGGTCTGTCATTGGCGCGTGTGCGTGCGGCTCTAGAAGAGCCCGGTCGAGCTGGCCGCAAGGAAGAAGTTCGCGTGAGGGATGATCAGCAGAGGCGCAGTAAGTGCGAGAAGTAGTGTGAAGGTTGGCACGAGGATCTGCGTGAAGGCCGGGGTCAGGGTGAGGGTCAGTACAGGGGCAGATGCGGCACTGGATCACTGTCAGATGGAAGGGATGGGCTGGACTAGAACAAACAAACAAACAAACAAACCTACTTACTTAAGTTTAACTCCATCATGTTTACCACAAAGAATGGCATTTGAAGTTCTGCTTGCTATACTATTGCACTTGGTTGACATACCACTTGATAGCCAGACAAATGCAAACACACGTGGATGATCCCAGTAAAAGATGTTATTTATTCACTTTCATCTAACAATACTGCAGAGACGCAAATAAGTCAAACGGCAGCATAGACAGGAACCCCAATGTACTATCAAATATTCACTGACTTTGCCTCCACTCAGACCCGCAATAGTAACCTCACAGGAGCTGGTGAACACACAGTTTGGTGGGCCCCAAGCACGGCACCCGACGGGTCGCAGACAATGTGTCGGAGCCTCCATGCGACCGATGTCACTGGTCGCGGCTCCAGAAGATCAACAGCTGTGTAGAACCGGAGGGGAAACCCACAGATACCAGGCGGGAGACAGCTGGAACTGCGATCACCTGTGCGTTACTCGGAGGGCTCCTGTGCATTCGCTTGTATGATCATCAGTAGCAAGAATTTGTCTGGGAGAATGAATAGTTACACCAATGTCTTTGACAAAGCTGCGAGTTGTGTGCACGCCGTTGAACAGTCAGATCGCCAAGTGCTGCGACTGTGTTCTGCGCGGTGGCCAAAGGAGGAGTGAAGAGATCAGGTGCAAAGAAGCCATTGCACGCAGCGTTCTTCTGGGGTGGCTTCATGGAGCACGCTTGGCTGTGCCAACAAAAAATGAGGCAAAGCAGTCTAGACTCATTGTTTTGTCAGTGATGTCTCTAGTACATTGCGGGTTCGGAACATGCGCGCACCTGAGACTGTCGAATTAACGCCAGGAGATTTAGCAGCTGGTTGTGGAAGAAGCGGGAGGGCAGTGTTGAAGTCAGCTTTTGGCTTGGCACTCTATCTTTGATGCACCAATTTACACCGAGATCACCAATCCTTCACCGCAGATGCTTCAAAGTGTCGTGGCTCTGCGCCACAACCACGACTGCAGGCAGCAGCTGCGTTCCTCAACCTCTCTTTCTCAACACAGAACTTCACTTTATTTGAATGCTTCAATGCGATACTTGGCAATTTCAGGTGTGCTTCTTCCTCTACGATTGCACGTAGCGTCATCGTCACCCAGACTCTGCTCACGGCGCGTACTCGTGTCTTTGTCTCACCACCGTTTTCTATTTCTTGTATGCACAATGATTCCATAATCTCCTTTGTATTATGTCATTCTCAAGCTAGAACCTGCTGCCACTCATTACGTACTCACAGAATACCCCGGGGGCATTTTATTGGGTATGTTCTGCTTTGCACGCGGAACACATGGACGGATAGATGCTCAGACTTCAGGCCCAGCCACCACATGCGCATGAGAACACTGCAGCAACAGAAGGGCCGGCACTGCGCATAAGCATTGGTACGGGACCAGGTCAAGCATTGTGATTAGCAGTGCAGCGAACACGAGTATCATCAATCTGATGGCGTGAATGAGAATGACATCTGGCAGGTTATTGAACGCATCCTCTGCTTGTAACACTAGGCTCTCAAATACTCCAGCGTGCGTTGGAAAGTGGTGAATGGTTTAATAATGGTACGCAGAAGAGAGAGGATGTGAGCTTGAATGGATGGATAAGGGCACGAAGTCGATATTGTGCACGAGTGACGATCAGGAATTCTCGTTGTACACTATAAAATGTGTGTCCAAGTTTCTCTTCTCTGAGGTCTGCTACTGAGTAACTACTCGTACGTAGACTATAGTACCAGAATGTGAATGCTCATCTCACGGCAATCCAGTGCACATGTACAGATTTCCTATGTCATCCAGCCCATTGCTAGACTTCTTGTGATTCGCTGATTGCCATGGCCCATTGGGGCCCATTCATGTCTGGAAGCATGCGACCAGTGCACCGCTGATTGTGATGCTACTACAACTCTGGGGTGTAACCTGGTGCGAGAATTTCTGCATTCCTTCGCCTATTGATTGCATGGCCTTTATGACTATCCCGGCCTTGCTTTCAACGCTATCTTCTCCTCCTGTGGCAGCAATGGCATCCACAGCCATGCAGACGCTGGTGCCAGTGCTACATTCACGCCCAATCTGACTACGCTGATCTTACCACAACATGTGCAGTAATTGGTAGGTGGCCTATTGTTCTGCTCTTGCCCAGGTCACTGAGCTTCGAAAGTTGTCACAGACCACAGATCCGCAACGTCTATGCATTGGTTGCATCCAACATACTGGCACCCATGAGAAGCTGGTGGCGGCACAGGGCAGTGCACAACGGCGCTTTAGAAGCAACCAGTGATAACTATTGATAGGGGAGTGCACCATCAATTCAATGACTCATTCGTCTCCGCATGCTGGCCTTGCATACGATATCGTACACGTTGCACCTACATGTGGTGGTATTTGCACTACCAGGAAATAATGCAGTACGTCAAAAGGCTGTGTACCTTCATAGAGCTTTGCAGTGCATCTACGACATCTCCTTCTCACTTGTGTACAAGCTGTGCATGCATCCTATAAGATGTGCTATACTTGAGTGTTGTGGTAAAGTTTGCTTTCCTCTCCCTCTCCTGATCGTGGCTCTCTCTGAGTCTCATTGGCCACGCCTCGTCATGCTGCCGCTCGACAATTTTCCTCATGCGCATAGCTATCTTGAAGGCATGGTATTGGATAAAGGCCTTCCCGATCCCTTTTCCTCTTCTATGGCATTGCCAGAGAAGTGGGGCACGGTTACATATTTTGATGCAGATTCAGACACTATCTTTAGCCAGGATAAACTCACAGTTTACACGACGTTCAATGACCACCTCAGCATGAACTCATCAAAAGCATATATCGCAGAACACATTGTTAGCCCAGACTATCTGTTTTACTACTATGAAGTGTCCATCAATACACTCTTCTGCGATGATGGTTCAAGGTGAGCTGACAATTTAACAAGTCCTAGCTACAACTAGTACTTGCACTGATAGTGTTTTCTTGCTTGCTTAGTATAACAATGGCGTGTGTATCCAACTTGCCTTCACGGTGATCTTCAATGACGAGCGTTGTAAATACAGCATGGTCACTGAGAACTGGAGTTGCGAAGACCTACTACAATCCGGATCGCCGCCTGCAGCAGGCCTACCATACTCGGGCTATTTGAAGAAATTTGTAGCAGGCGCATCCTTCCTTCCTGGGGAAAGTACCATTGCAGGTGAGCTCATGGAGGTTGAGACATGGCTGGTCTAGTTATAAGCCAACTGCACATCCTTGCAGCAGGAGATATACTAGGCTGTGGATTCTCGCGCCCTGAAGATTACATATTCTGCACTAGGAATGGTAAACATATTGGTAAGACACCATTGTGAATAGTGCGTAGGGCTCGGGCTCATAATCTTCGATGGCGTATCCTAGGTGTTTCACAGGATGCCAGTAAACTCTTGAGCTCAACAATGGCACGGCTACGCCCGGTCGTCTATATGACCCTTAAGAATCATCACAACACACCAATTCCACCGGAGCTTCACTTGGGCACTACTGCCAACTTTGGGCAAGATAGTTTCGCCTTTGACATGGCACACTTTGCAGAAGGTTATCTCAAGCAGAGGAGACAGCGATTTGAGTGTAGTGCTGGGTCGTTACCCGACAAGATCATCACAATGATCACTATACTTGCTGCAGAAATCATTGTAGGTAAAGAGGACATGTAAGCCATTTCTTGTCTAATGTGCTATTGGAGTCAGCTCAAACACTCTATCGTAAGCAGTATTGGCCGCATCTCACTTCTGACCTTGCTTGCCATGGTCAACCACACCTGGCAGAGAATATGCCACCCTATGATATTCAGCGAGCTCCGCATTCGAACTCTGGCTCAACTTCACTGCTTGTGCGTCATTTTCAAGACCACAAAGGTCTTGAATTCTCCACACAAGGTATACATAGGTACTGATAGAGGTAGAGAGCCGGAAGATGGTAAGCTCCCTATTCCGAGCTTGGCATTAACTCTTTTGTCTGTGGGTGGCCATCTTCAACAAACCAACAATATCAAGTACACAAGCTGTGACTCGCGGTCTCCTCTGACTGTGGTACAAGAGGCTCCACCTCGAATTGAGGCTGCGATCCTTACCCTTCTTCATCCATTGAAACACCTTACCCGCCTACGCTTATACAAGATGAAGCTCAGATCTCTGACTCAGCTCCTCGGTATCATCCGCGCCCAGCCTCGGATCCAACACATTCACCTCAAGCTCATAGAGATCTTGCAGGCCATCAAACGATTCTTCTGGCCACCGAGACTCGTTCTGACAAATTTGCAGTATTTTGAACTGGAATACTGCTTTGTACCCGCAAATACAATTCTGATATTTGTCTCACTTCGACTCAGAGGCACACCAAACTTCACCCCTTCGCCAAATGGTGTCTCACAACACCACCCGCTACAGCCTGGCACCTCTCATCATCCACTGCAAATCCATCATGTCGATGAGAAGGCCCTGGTACAGATTACTCAAGCTCTAGGGCAACATTTGTGTAGTCAGCACAATCACTCTGACGGTGCAATGATATGCAAGTTTGGAGTCTTGGTTGCTCCCGCATTGGATACACCATTTCTGACCCTATTTGGTGAGGTTTATTGGGTGCCTGGACAAGTTTCTGTGACTCACACCTGTTTCTGGCATTGTCACTCATGCAGGCTGGCGTCCCTGTGCCTGTATCATTAAAATATGTACGGAGGACACACCAGGGTCAGGGGTACTCTTCGGCATATCAAAGAAGTCAGAATCAAGCTTGACATACTATGCAACACGGTCAAAGGCACTGCGCATGCACTGGCATCTCTCGATCGCTCATTTGCCGCAATATTCACTGGTGACAATCCTTCGCTCACATTTTCCTTCTGGATTGCGATTGGTCCGAGATTATTCGAAGGAATCAGGAAGGTCGTCCCTAATCCCCTGCAATTGCTTGAAGAGAAAGGGAGGCTAATTCTAGAGTTTGATGATAACCTGGACAATTGGTATCTGGAGCTGCTGAAGGACAGCAAAGAGTCAGATGTATCGGGGGACACAGACTCTGAACACGAGTCAGAGGACGATGAAGAATCGGATACTACTCCACAGTAGCGTTGCGGACTCTCCCTGCGCGTCCTGACCACGTCACCATCTACTATCTGCTTCGCACATTGCACTCCCTTCGCAAAATTCTCTCACTGACATGAATGTCCTGTTCCTCGCATCAACCTTTGTTCCCTCTCCCCGGTAACATCCCAACAGTGCCTCTGAGACAGCTGCGTATGGCACCAATCAGCAAACGCGACGTCTCCACTTCATCCTCGCAGCCGTCTCCAGATCCAGTGGCCATCCCATCGTGTCTGCGCAGTCGCGGTCGGCATACAGTGACCTGCACCACGACATCTGCCACCGCTGGATTGCCCGCATTCCTCACATTTGCGACATCCCCGAGCTGTTGGTCCCTTCTCTGTTTGCATATGGCACGCCAGAGCTCCCAATTTCGTGTCGCCCCAAAGAAGCACACAACACATGGCGTGCCCCTTGCGCCACTGAAGTCGGCCACTTTGGACATGGGCCTTGCGTCGGCATATGCGCGAGGCACCCTGGAGGAACCTAATCAAGCTGACCACGTGGAAGGAATCTAGAGATAGAGAGGGATCAGTGGTGGCGGTGGCACAAGAGGCAGCATGAGGGTCGGCAAGAGGGTCTGCAGAAGCATTGAGATGAGGGCGAGAGTTGGTACAAGGATGGATGCGGCGCTGGACTGCTGTAGACAGAAGGGGTGAGCTGGACCGCGAGGAACAGACCTACATTTTTCTTATTTAATCCTCATCATGTTCACGGCAAAGGACATTAGCCACAGATCTTCTTGCTTTGTTATCGTACTTGATTGATGTGCTTGGCTGCCAGACAAATATTACAAACATGCACAATTCTTTACCATAACCAATGGTATATATTTAATTTCTCGTCTACTAGTACTGGATAAGAACGTGAATCAGCAACATGAGAATGTAGCCAAGCATTTGAGCGCACCATTATATATCCACTAAATTTGCCTTCGTACGATCCCGCATCAACGACATCGCAGGACCTGGCGAGCACCTGGGTGGCACTACCATATGCTCACGGTGTAGGGCGAGTATATAATCCAACGAGCCGCAAGTATGACGCCTGAGTGGTTGGACCTTCCGTGCCATGGATGTCAGCCTTTGCAGTGCTAGAAAATCGAGGATATATAGTGCAAGATTCTGCAAACGTCCGCAGACGCCAAACGAGTGACAGCTGGATTTGCGACTACCTGTACAACGCCCAAAAGGCTACAATGCGTTCGTGCATATTATGAATGATAGAAAGGACTTGCCGGCGTAGATGGACAAAGAGGCCAACATCTTCGACAGGGCGGCGACCTATGTGCATGTTGTCAAGCGGCAGGATTGCCAGGTTCCGTGATCGAATTCTGCACCACGGCCGGACAAGAGGCGAAGAGTGCGAAGAGGCCGAGACGAATGGTGTTCTTCTGTGGTGGCTCCGCAGGGCACGCTTGATCGTATCACCGACATATGAGGCGCGACAGCCTAGTCTTGTCGTTTTGTCAGCAACGCATTTGGCACACTGTGAGTTTGGAGCACACCTGCGCCTGAGGCCCTCGGATTGACATAACACACAGCCGTGCGCAGATTCTCGGAGCGATGCATAACTGGGTCCTCACTTCCCCGAGGCCCTGAGAGGCACCGTTCTCCACTCTGGCCGGTGACTCAAGGCCGCCGCGCCCGTTGCTGCACCACTAAAGGATTTGCGCTGAGTATCGTACAAGACGGAACAAAGCATGTCAGATGGATCGTCGTGCTTGCCGCTCGCTGGTCTTGGCATCGTACACATCTCGTAGGCAGAGCGCTTGGGCCGAAGGAACGAGTAGTGAACTGCGGCCGATCGCAAAACAATGGTGAGGGTTGGGCACAGCAATCCTGGCAAAATATCTTGTCAGAAGTGGTAAGAAACTATGAGTGCGTGCTTTGGATAGCATACCTATGGATAAATATGAGCTTGACTCATGTACTCAACCTCAAATCCGCCTCCGTGACAGGCCAGGTGCAGCGCATCATCGAAGCAGTATCAGGCACACAAGGCAGATTAATCGCCACCAGGGAGGAGACAGGCGACGATGGGTAAAGTCTGCTAGAGTTGCGGTGGTAAACAGTAAGTTGGCCATTGGAAAAGCGCGGCTCCCCATGCTGGCTGTAAAAGTGTTCTCCTCGTTGCACGACTGGATGCCCAAAGGTCGTGCTCAAGAGCAGTGGCAGGTGTTTGATTGAGAAACATAGTACCTTGAGGGTCAGGCCACCGTCTGCAGCTTGCTGCTCGTACGGCACAGAAACAAGGGTGCGACAATAGTCTTGAGCTGGAGGGCTGTGGCAGCAAAGATGATGTTTGGCGGTATGACGATAAGGGAGCTGAACTGGATATATGCGGTTACTTCAGTATATCTGGCCATGGAGCGACGGTATTAGTTGTCAAATGGCAATGCGAGCAATGTGCAACTTACCGGATGGATGCGCGTACCGCTAGCCTATCACATGTAGTATGTCCCACCAACATTGCTGCAGAGCTGGCGCGCAGCCTGTGCACAAGGCCGGGATTCAACGCAAAAGAAGCAGTGTGTCACGTACCAGCTGGAAGCGCAAGCCCCCAGCCTGCCAGGCGTGCATCCTACATGACCAGCTCCAGGGCTGGCGTGCACACGAGGTCAGCATGTGCAACAGCAAGTGACAAAGGAGTTGGCAAGACATTGATGCGTACAAGGTGCTATATCACGTAAGCTGCAGCTGGGGCTTGCAAGGATGACAGGGCCCATGGAACGTGGAAGGTCGAAATCACCATCGGCAAGCTCATTTGCAGGTCTTGTGGTGCCGTGTCGTGCCGATTGTTGCAGTAAGGCCAGTTGGCTGTCAAGCTTAGGCCAGCTTGGGTCGCATTGAGGAGGCAGTGGAGCGAGGAAGCTGGGAGATGTAGTCTGAGATCGCTGCAGAAGATGCATTTTAATTGCCTTCAGCTGGCAAACGCCAGCAACACAGAGGTCCAAATTTGGATGGACCTGTTGTTTGTTGTTCATCGTTCAAGCTCAAGTTTCAAGGCTCTCCGTCTCTGTACTTGTCCGTGGAGACAGCAAGCAGCAAACAACACGGACAGTGGAGCATGCGAGGCTGGCCTTTCTGTGTAAATGTAGCTACTTGTGCCATGTAACTATACGGGTGCGAGATACTTAAAACAAGCGGCTAGCCCTACTAATCTGAGCCACCTATATCCAGATTTCCAAGTCCACGACCATTAACTCCAACACTTTCCCAGCCGTGTGCTAATCCAATATGTTTATGATGCCCCAAAAGGCGTCATTGTAGCCATGACAAACAGCTTGTCGCAAGACGTATAAACCACACATGTGACAGCGCGGAGAAAACGGGTGTCAGATTATTGACCGCATGTAAAACGAGAAGATCCTCTGGACAGTAATCGTGACCGACTCGAGGTTTGTGCACGTTGTTGGGAGGGATGTCTGAGGGTCAAATCAGGCTGTCGTCACCAGTACTGCATGGAAACCTGAATCAGCAATGGGAGGCCAGCTCTTCGATGTACCATCAGATGACCACTGTAATTGCCTTTGCACAGCCCCGTGGCAGCAACAGCGTAGGAGCCGAGGAGCATTCAGGTAGACAGCACTTTGGTGTGTTTGCAGCACGGGCGGGCACGTAATCTGGCAGGCCTTGGGTAAAGTGTCCAGGGGGTTGGCGGCAACGATTCAGAGCCTTCATGCAAAGGATGTTGCCCTTTGCGGTGACAAAAGTTTGAGGGCAGCGCAGGATCCAGTGAAGGTCCATAGATGCTGGGAGAGCGACAGCCAAAATTGTCCGTGCGATACTCGGAGGACTCAGATGTGTTCGCGTTTAGTATCAACGGTGGAAAATTTATCAACAATTTGACAAAGCAGCAACTTGTGCACGAACCGTCGAGCGGTTGGATTGCTACGACCCATAATTGTGTTTCGCACTGCGGCCAGACAACAGGTGGAGAGAGCGGGCCCGAAGAGACCAAGAGACACGGTATTCATTTGGGACGGCTTCGCAGAGCACGCATGACTGTACTATTAAGATATAAGGCAACGCAGCCTAGTGACATTGTCTTGTCAGTAATACATTCAATATGTTGTGGGCTCGAGACATACGCGCACCTGAGACTGATGGATCAACATGGTCCAAGGTCGTACACAGGTATTCACAGCAATACGTTTTCAGAGCTACGCCTCTCTGGGATTCCGGGAGTTATCGTTTACCACCGGTCAATGAACTGAAACAACCGCGTCCCGGCAGCATTCACTGCTGCACAACCGGAGGACCTGCGTTGAGCGTCGTACACGAGGGAACATTACACGCAAGTCAAATCTTCACGCTTGCTGCGCAGCGATCTCGACACTGGACATTCGTAAATGGAGCGCCTAGATCGAAGGAGAGCTGCAGAACCTTGGCGAGGCCTGGACATAATGGCTTTGGTAAGATCTATGGTTAGGAATCGTGCAAAACCACAGGTACATGCATTAAACAGCGCACCTAATGGCAGGGCCATCTTTGATTTGTTCATATGCTCTCCCTCAAATTTGCTTCGGCACCGAGATAGCGCTGCGCGTCATCGAAAAAGTGATTCTCGGTCTATAAAGCAGAACAGAAGCCACGAGTAGATGGACAACAAAGGTTGAGTTCGCCAGAGGTGCCGCAATGAACAGCGTAGGCCACTAGAAAAGCGCACCTGATGGCGCCGGCCGCAAAAACACCTTCCTTGCGCCCGGAGCTCATATTCAAGGGCAGCACCTTCGGCGTAATTGAGAAACATCTTCAATAGGCGGCAGAATCGACAGCCTGTCGCCTGTGCAGGCCAGAAACAAGGGCGTGATGATAGTCTTCTGCTGGAGGGCTACAGCATGGAGGGTGGTCTTCGGCGGCATGGCAGCAAGGAAATCAAACCGAAGGCACCTATCTGCTTCTAGTCATGGAGCAACGACATGGGCTGTCAGCTAGCAATCCGAGGAATGCGCCACGTACCAGATGGACACAAAGGCCCCTTAGATTGTCCCACCAAGAGCATTCACAACCGCGCTAGGCCGGTGTGCGACGACGAGTGATGAGAAGTTGATAACACAGAGGTGCGAGATAGGTGTCGTGTCGCGCAAGGACAACAGTGTTGGGGAACGTGGACGGTTGAAATCGCGGTCGGCGTTGCATGTGTGTGTTCAGGTCGTGTTAAGAAGGTGGCCTGCCCTAGATCACGTGGTTGCCCTGCGTGCCACATTTGGAAGGTATAGTCGCAACTGTCCAGAGACCACGGCAGCCCTCAGCCCGAATCTATCTGTCAACTACTGCGTTGGTTTTTGTGCAAGAGTATCTGTACAGCAAAAATATGCGGGGACGAGAGGAGCTCTCAGATAAAAACGACAACAGCTCCTAGCCGTGCGGGGAGCCTTTCGAGCACAGCAGCTTGTGCAAAGAGATCATCTTGTGGTTTGGCGTATGATAAGTGCGTTTAACCCCAGTCTCCAGAGACGCGAGGTTTGCATACACCTCGAGTGCTTGGCCAATCGCAGCCCAGTCAACCTTCTGTATCTTCTGGACCAGCATTGCACCGCGAATCCAGGGCTGGTAGTACTTGAGCTCGAGCCTGACGTGGCAGACGGCTGCCGGGAGCAATTTCAGGAAGGCGAGGGCCTGGCTCAGCCGAATAGGATGGGAGTGATGCACGGATGCGTCCATTGTGAACGTGACAGATGTCATGTGTGCGCATGAGGACAATATGGGCAGACGAGCTGGATATCGCTGTCAGAAATAGAACTGTAGAGGTCAGGCACCACTTGCCTGAGCCAAAATCTGTGTACAAAGCGCTGCTATACAAGAGATGGAATGCCCAGAGACTCTGGCTAACCGCTTGCGTGAAGTCGTTTAAGACAGGCTGGAGACCATTCTCATAAGGGCTTGGAGACTGTGCAGTAAGACCCTCGAGTGCTGAATGGTCTAGTATCATGAATATGTGTAGTAGAAGCCTCGGGTAAGCATCTCTCATCTCAAGGTTCTTGACGACGTGTTGTGCGGGGCACGGCAGCACGGCGCTGGGATGATAGAGGCCTCCAAAGACGAAGCGTGCCCACAGATTCAAACAGCCACAGGAGCGAGTCCACTAAGAATATCGAAATGCGGTGTACTTCGAGGAATACAATTGTCCGTCCTGCGGCCTTCAGTCGCAGCATCAAGAGAGACTCCTCTTCGGCAGGGTCGTTGATTTTCCAAATAGTGAGTTCGCGCAGTAATGGCAGGTTCTCAATCAGTTTCAAGCAGTCAAAGGACAGGATAAACAGCGTGAGATCAACGATGTTCAACAGGATGCCCTGCGTCAATTGGATGCCCTGCACTGACTGCAACACGGGCGCAATATTGTTCACCCCTGCGAGTGTAAAGGATGCGAAGAGGTGCCTCGAGCTCCGTGACAGCCAGCGTCGGCATGTCAGTGAGCAAGCTCTTCAGAGCTCGCCTGTCGGTGCTGAGCTCGTCAATTATCTTATCCACTAGTTCCTGCAGGAGTCACTCAACAAGTCCAGGAACCACTGTGCTGCCAACGTGCTGATCACGCCTGGCCATGAATCGTCCAAATGCTGCGGTGCAGTTCAGTGGGCTATTACATCGGCAGGAAGGATATATAGCCGCTTACAAGGGTTGTGGCGCATTTTCATAAATTGAGACGGCATGTGCAGCGTCTCTGGAAAGGAAGAACAACCACAACAAATTTCTTGAGGAGCGCCCCTGAGAACGTCGCATCGAACGTGCCTGCACCGTATCCCGAGTTTAGAAGGTGTGATCACTCTGTTTGACAAGCCATGGTGCCCCAACAATAAAGCAATGCGACGCGGGTCAATTATATCAGATAGCGGGCTTCAAGGTGTATTTCTACATATCATGAACAATCTCTGATCAGATGAAGGAAAAGGCGGTGAGGATTAATAGACGGTCACCAGTGCTCGGGGTCATAGTCTTCAGTGGTCACAGACTCCAACCACCAGCTTCCTCATTGAACTGCGCGCTGCAGACATCACTAGAACACGACTGCAGTCTTGGGGCACGAAGATGTCTCCAATATGGGCATATCTTCTGCAGGATCTCTTTTGGCCTGTCATCAGTCTGCTCGATGCCGCCGACCTGTATTAGGCGAGCCTCATCTGCCACACCTGGGTGCCCTACGCATCCGAACACCTTCTGCAGTGAGTCGTCATGAACCACACAATCCAATACAAATCACTCGCCTCACCTTACACATATAACCCGATGTGGCACAACTACACAGTCTTCCGTGATCTCGTCACACACTCAGAACACCTTCGTCGCTACGTCTGCAAGCTCCACATCAAAGCTTCGTTGAAGGGCTCGCCCAGTGTGGTGCTCTGTATGTGCCGCAATCTGCCACGGCTCGAAGTGCTATATCTAGATAGAGCCTTTCTCGCTGTGTCCATCGAGGAGCATGCTGCATTTGGTGGAACGCTCAAGCTGTCTGCATCACACATCGATCCGTTGCTAGACATCCTTTTGGTGTTCACTAGCATTTGTCATCTGAATATATCAGACACCCGGAGCTCTATGAGTCCAGGTCATGTAGTTTCCAAGGCTCAGCCCCAGTCAGAAGTCGATCTAGTAGAAGACAACCAAAATGTAGTGTTGGTTGCCGCATATATTCTACTATGTAAATGTGGTCTGGGGACACATAACGCTATATGTATTCGTCGCTCGTGTTTCTGTAGCGTGTATCGTTATCTAGCGGTATCTAGCGCTGTATATTTTCTCCGAAATAGGCCCTTGCATGCACCTAGCCACAATATAGCATTCTATAGCCTCACCTGCCTGCACGCATAGCCAGATTGTTGCACTACATAGCATAATCTATCCGTGTTACATATGTCCACATAGCATAACTTAGCATAATATATCATAATGACCATATTCGGCCAGGTCCAAGTCTTCCGAGCACCTGCGCGCAGTGCACTGCAGCCCTGCAGCCCTTGCCCTATGCCGCCCTACGCTGCTCTGTGCCCTCCGCACGTTTGTCAGTTGAGAGGATCAAAGGGGCCCTTGCCCGCCGCCTTCTAAAAACAGCACGTTAGTCGCATGGCGTTCTCTGGGCTGGTACGAGACTGCTAATACAACATACCATTGCCCGAGCTTTCCTCTCGTACTCCTAGAGGGGTCAAAGTTAGTCAACCATTGGCAGGGCATCGTTTGATACACACCATCTTGCGCTTCTTGTCATTTTGAGCTACATCATTCCAGTAGGGTTTGAAGTCAGCAGCACTTCCTATGAAGGTTGGGCATGGACAAAAATCAGCATGTCGTAAACTAGAAACATGCAAAAACTCGTTTTCATTTGAGAGGTGAGCGCCCACGCAACACATTGCCTGAGAGTGCCCAAAAATACACACAGATGCACAAACGTGAATGTACATGCACGTACATGCACGCGCATGCACGAGGACGAACTAAAGTGCAACGTCGCCAAACTGGAACTGGGCGGCGGCGTAAATCTCGAACTTGCATCAGCGCTACCGTACGGGCCAAAGTGCATGTAGGTGCACTTTCTTGCGCGTCGGTGTTCCAAAGGGTATCTAGCTGAGTACATATCATGCGGGTTAGCTGTGCGATTGTCAACATTTTGCACCAGCGTGCACAAAGGTGCACTTTGTAATAAGCTTGCGCACTGCCGTCATAGCCGCCCAACGAGTTTGACATGGGCGATAGCAAGTTTGATGGGAATGATAGCGAGTTTGACACGGTCGATAGTGCACGTACGTGCACTTTTGTGCGCAGCTGTGCATCACCATGTACATTAGCACACCAAAATGTGCTAATGCGCACAGCTGTGAACACAGTACTATAGTAAGTGAATGCACCCTCACTTGTTGTCAATCATGCGCGGCGAGAACCAGGTTTCCATTGCGAGTTTTGATTTTTGTCCATCAAAGACTGTGATAGCTTCCACCGGGATTGGACGCACACCAATCAATCCCACAAAGTGTCCTACAGGTCCCAGATCAGCGCGAGAATATCCTACACAGAAGACAAGATACTCATCGCGCGGTCACCAGAGAGTTCTCATCGAAGTTCAGTGGTTTCGAGCCCTTGCCGGATGCTCTCTTGTGGTGGGCAGCATCTGGCTGACCTATCGACTGTAACACCACGTTCGTACTCCCGGCGGCTCCAGTTGTCGGCTGTTGTCCAGCTGTACCGCTTGTGTCGTCACCCTGTATGATAGCCTCAGTTGAATCCAATCGATTATTGGGCAGTTCCATGGCATCATCGGTAGATGCATGACCCTCGCGTTCTGCTGGCCCCGGCGTTGGTCTTGGTGTAGGTGTTCGCTCAGGTCGAGGCCTGTTGTCTCCATCGAATAATGTATGCCTAGAGTAAAGGTAGATTAGAACAGTGACAAATGAGGGGCTTAAACCTACAGTGGATTGACTAATTGCCTGATTGGACGCAGCGTGCCCATCAAGTCTTCAGCTTGAGCTCGCGGCAGCAGCTGCAGATCCTTATCCTGATTTATTGATGGATGCTGGTTACCTGCATTGCGACGCCGTTTGGGTGCACTCGTTCCGTGATCGTTTGAACGCCGCTTGCGCCGCGTAGTGCCAGTAGAGGCATCTGCGCACTCATCGTCGCTGGTGTCTGAGCCATTTGAGTTGTCTGCTGAGGGCTTGGTAAATCGCTCCCCCAGCGGCGGACGTGGTACAGGGTGCTTCTGTCAGTGGCCGGGAAGTGTGTCGATGGCCAGACGCTTGCTCTTCCAGCCGTCGGTGCACAGCTGCATGAACTCAAACCGAGACTCAAGCTCTGATCGCAGAGTCTCACGCTGCTTCAAAGTGGCTTCCTTCTTCCATGTCTTTGGAGGGAGCTCAGCTCGGTGCTCTATGAATATAAGAGGATTGTAAGCGACATCAAATGATGTATAAATTGTGCGACAGCGGGCTCAAGCTACATCAAGGTCATCTTCAGAGATGTGTTTGCCGTTGCAATCCGTTAGGTAGCCAAAGGCCAGCTCCTTGTTCACTGACTTTACTGACTCGGCTTCTGGGTCACTGATGCCGCTGGCCATGCGCTTCGCCTTCGTGTACCGCTTCCAGTCCCGTTGATGCCAGAACTTTGCATTGGGCTGGTCGCCCTTGTTCTCAGTAGGGACGATGATAGTCCCTGGTGGGCCTGTCGGCATCTGCATGGCCTGTACGGGGGCATCCTTGATGGAGCCCCTGAATGGAAGGCAGCTGAGCGTGGGACATTAGTTCAAGAGCGACAGACTTACTCGATGCTCTTGACAGCCTGCATGAGGCTTTTCAGTTGTGTTCTTAAGCCTTGCTGAGCATGCTGTAAAAGGAGCAGAGAAGGGATGCTCACTGGATGCTCGCAAGTTGGCTGTATAGTGCCTGGTTTGTTTGATACCCCTGCTGGTATGTCTCAAATAGCTGTGCATATGTGACGTTGGCCGTTAGCAATGCATCGTGCGTTGCACTGACAAGTAAGCTGTTATCAGCCAACCGTGACATGAAAATATCCATTGACAACCTGCGAGGGCCAATAGGAAAGGCTGTCAGTATTTGTGGCAGCCCTGTCGAGCATGTATGTGTGCTTTCTCTATCATAAGATGTCAGCTGGGTAGCTTTCAGGTCTCTCATTAGGGACAATAGCGTTTCTGGGGGAGGAATCAACGACATCTCTGGCAGGTAATGTGTTGGTTGGATTTTTGGCTTGTGAAGGTGGACAAGACTGGCTCACCGCCATTGGAGGAACCCAACAAGTCACCTGAAAATGACGAGTCCATCTTCCAGACTTCCAATGCAGCTGTGCAAGCAGAGTGGGGAAAATGACAGGTGGTGGTGCTGACTCAAACGAAGGCTCCGCAGGTGGGCAAAACGGCGCACCAATCTTGTGACCGTGTTGAAACACGTGCACCATTGGGCCCTCACTTTCATTCACCACAACAAATCCAGCACTCCACACCAGAGCATGTCTGTTAACGTCTGCGCAAAACATGCGAGCCCATCATTGCATCCCATACAACAGTCTGTGTGTCAATCCTTTGGTAGTCATCCTACCACGCGTTGAGCACAATACGGTCAGTGTTGGCTGCAATAGACACTCCGTTGCACTTACCTGGGTTGTGTAATTGCGGAGCTTTGTTCTCAGCCTCCACCCAGATGATGAGTTTGTCGAGTTCTTGGCAGAGAGGCAGAGGGAGGTGTGGGTGTGGGTGAGAACAATGAAGGAAGCCCAACGAAGGTTTGATTACTTTCAGGGTTACTGCTTCTATTGCCTGTCCACAAAAGCTGTGCGCAATTCACAAGGTCTCATACCAGACCAAAGGCAGTTATATAGTAATAGAGACAGAAGTACAAATGTATTTGGTAACAACATACAACTACTGCTACTCTGGATCTTCATCTAGATCTGTGGGATCATTGTCGCTGGGAACAGTACCAGCTAATGACATAACATCAAGGCTCATCTTCTCCAGCACAAAGTGACGGCCACGGACTTGGGTATCGAGTACTTCATCATCAATTTTGGGATGTGGTATCATACCAACAACAGACTTGATAGCTCGTGCATCAATAACTTAAAGACCGTCCATGCCGCGATGCTTGCAGGACCACACAGTACCAGATGATTTCTCAAGCAGATCTTGGTCTGGTGGCCCCTATATAGAGGCCATTGCAAAGCCTCGGGGTGTATTGGACAGTGGGGTACACATTAGAAAGTAGTACTGAATTTTGGCAAACTCTGTCTTATCGTCAAGAGTAAGCTGGCCAGGCAGAAGGGATTATTAAAGGGCATACATATACACATATCGAAGCACAGTAGAAGACGTACCTTTACCATGCGAGACATGCGGATGTTGTTTGTGTCCTTGCCTTCATCGCCCCATGCAGAGCGAGCTGTTTGACCGTTGGGCAAGCGCAGCCTTGCCCAGCGCGCAAGCGACGGCTCGTTTTGCCAGTTGTTACTAATAGCAACATCCTGAGACGCAACAAAATTCCGCGTCACCTCAGCTTCCGCTGTGGGGAGGGTGGAAATTTTCTGTTCATGCTTGCGCAGCAGTGCATGCTCACTGTCTAGTGGATGAGCACCTCGTGGGAGGGATGGCGGCTCTGGCTCGACTTCGGGAAACATGTGCTTGATAGCGTTGGTCTGACAACGTCGGAGGGCACACTGAGCAAGGTTGGCAAATGGCTTCGAGGGTTGGCGGATCTCTTTTCCAAGATTGCCGATAGCACGTTCCATGGTCCACTGTGCTGAAATGCCATACAGACCAATGCAAAAGGTCTCTGGGCCGGTGTGAATCATAGCATGGATGCTCTGGCAGACAAAATGGAGCCGAGCACCTTCTCGTTGATAGTAGAGTCACTCGTACTCTTCCACAAACTCAATTAGGAGCTTGTGAGCTTCTGTAAGCTGGGCTGCCGTGATGCAACATTGGTATATCAGCTGTACACCACGCACAAGCTTGCAAAAGTTGAGATAGCATCTCATGGGTAGGACACCATACAGGAGTCCAGGAGCAAGGCCGTATACATAGGTGAGATACTCAACAGCCTTGTATCCACTTGAGATCTTTTCAGCAGGGTTGCACGGTGGTCGATCAAAAGAACCTGGAATGTACGGCGTCGCATCTGCAACTAGCTGACCGTGAGTGCGCCAAGCTTCCAAGTTTTGGAAGATGGCCCAATCCCAGAGGTCCTTTTGGTCAGGTGCTTCACATGCTAGAGTGCCGTGCCATAGATGGGTGAACAAGTCTGTGAGATTGAGCGCCACAAAATGCATGATGTCAGGAGGAAAGCAGTTTGGGATTCCAAAGATGCAGCTGCGGGGGAATGCGCTTACGATGGATGGTTTTGCAATGCCTGTTGCAAGCCGCCGGTCCTTGTACATCGAGATTGTGGTAGAGTCTTGAAGATATCTTAGATTTTTCCGGTATCGCTTGGCAGCTTCATCTTAAGAACGAGGCCCAGTGAAGGTACGGAGGTTAATATCATTGTGCATTGATCCAGTGACATTGTAGTTGCCACCTGGTTTTAAGCACACAGGAAAATAATGGCCCGCCCGGGTTTGTGACGTCCACGCATGGGACAGTACAGTCGGCAGCCAAATCTCCCAGAATGCCCAACCAGACCATTAATGAACTGCATACCAGGACTGTCTGCAGTGAGATACGCAAGGAATAGAGTGGAAAGGAAGAGGCGGTCAGCTGCAGCATCCCAGATTGCCAGACTCCCTTTCATCAATGCTGCGATATGATGGCATCAGCAAAAAAATTAGCTGATTATCTAGAATGGTCAGGCCATATAAAGATACCCATGAATGCAAATTAACCCATTCTGGAATCACCATTGCCATACTAGATAGAGCACCTGTATGCTTTGCACAGCTTATCAGTCTGAGGAGCTTCGCCATTCTGGAAAGGTTTACCAGCCATGGCAGGGCATTGCCAGCGAGCGCCGGTCTGGGAAACAGTTGCCAGAGTGCTCAAATGAATTGGTTCAATATTCAAATATATTTGGGATCAGCTCGCACATGGAAAATTGAGAATCAAAAATGGTATATTTATGAAGCTACACAAGATACAAAGGTTGTAGCTGACGCCCCTTGGAGCAAAATTTTGGCCCATGTTGCTTACCAATATGGCTTAGGTGAGCCACAAACATGAGGTTTCATGAGCGCGAAGAGCTGCGGATCATGAGACGTACCAGAGACGCACTATGCTATGTGGGAATGAGAACCCTTGAGGTCGGCAAAGAATGCATCAGCATGTGATGCGCAGAAAGAACAAGTAACTTATGTTCTATGGCTGATGCCAGCATGTGGTATCAGCTGCACCTGTGAGGCTCCCGAGCATGTTGCAGATTGTGTCGCAGGTGGCATGATAGGAGGGGCTCAGGGTGACAAGGGCATGGTCATGGTAATGGTGTGCAGGTCGTCTCTTGGGTGGGCAGCAATGTCTCGCATGAGCCTATAGGCAAGAGTTGTGGTCAGTCGAGTGCATATATGCACGTTGCATGCACTATATGCATCGGGATACCACATAGATAAGCTTATATGCGAACTTACATGCTTATAATATCACCTCGTGCTCATGTTATAGCTCCATACAGGGGTGGGAGGAGGTGCCGTGGCTACTGTGTGTGTGGTCAGTTGTGTGAGGTGTCAGCAGAGTACTCACAACAGGGATCCGCACGCACCTCGGCATATGGCAAGTACCTGGTGCAGACACCCATGCAGCGTTGTTACGACAGCGACGGAATGGATGTCCACAGGTGTTCGCGGATGTTCAAGCTCACCAGCCGAGCTGGCTCAGGGCTCGGACTCGAGCACAATGGTGAAGAGGAAGTAAAGGGTATGAGGAATGGAGAGGTGACGAAGGCCCTCCATAAGTATCATGACATAAAAGGAAATGTGACTTTAGGGGAGGTCAAAGGAATCTTGTGCAGTCGTCGTAGAGGGGGCCGGAGGCGAAAGACAGCGGTGACATGTCTCGCCGCAGTGACGTCACATCACAACCGGAATCTGGGGGACCAGGTCATGGCATGTCGAGTTCTATCAGTATGGGACCCGAATTGTAATGATATACCGGCATGAGATGACATGGCAATCAATGGCCATGCAATATCAGCAAGGTATTGCCCGATCTTGCATTGCCAGCATCCACCAGGCTGCTAGACGCTTGCATAACAACCCATCGTTGGCCTACAACCTATTTTTTTGCTGATGGGAAGCCGGGGAATAGGAACGAGTCGATGTTCTTCGGCTTGTTTGGGCCCAGTATAACACCTCTGATAAGGACATGGTGCTTTTTGTAGCGAGAATCTGGGCTTCGGTCAAGCAGAACCCAGATGTACATCCAGCAATCTGACTGCTTGTTGCAATAGAGCTGTGCACCGTCGAGCGAGAGCATGAGAGTGGTTGAGTTTTTGGTGATATCTCCACGGTTGACCGCCTCGATGTACTCGAAGCCATGGATCCAATCGTTGAGCTCAAGAATCTGGTTGCTGTTCTTCCTCAAATCATCGAGTACCCACTTTGTACACTGCTGACGGTACTTCATTGCAGAAGCACCTTCATGAGATCGCCATGCTGCCTGCACTTGCGGGCCAACTGGATTTGTTAGGAATTGTTGACGAGCCTTGCGACCTGCACTTGATTCGACACCTGGTCTGTTGTCCCAACGTGACTCGCCACATCCGGGACACTTGTCGAGCTCAGTGAATGGGCCTGTGAACCCAACACAGCTGTTAACACACATGTCGGTGAACAATGGGTAAACTCCGCTAATCTCCCGGACCCTGCGCTTCACTTGATCAAGGGAAAGCATTTGGAGGTGTGGCGGGGTGTGGGCAATTGACTGTCGGACACGCTCGTAGATATCATCCGCAGCATTGTCAAGAGACAGATAAATTTCGATCAAAAGTCGTAGTACATCGTTGCTGAGATCTAAAAGCTCCTGAGGCGGGTTACGAAGGCGTTCTAATGCCTCCGAAGAAAGGTTGTTGTCATCAAGGGAGGCAACAGATAGCATGTCGATGAACTGCTGCGCGATTTTGAGAGTTTCGATGCGGAGAACGGGCAGCTCGCCGGTCTCCTCAGAGGGGAAAGTGTCCGGGTCTAGTTGCTCGTCGGCCACCGTAACGTGAAGCACAAGCGTGGCAAGGGATATCTGCTCTTGGAAATCCTCTTGGACGGCATCGAGTCTGGTGCTGTAATCGTCTGGCATACCAGCGAGGGAGTAAGGCTCGATGGAATGTTGGCGGAGCAGGCTATCGGGCACAGGTACATCGTAAGCGTCCGTATTGTGGTGATCATCTAGCGTCGACATAGATGGGTCTACCTAGCAAGTAGCGTGGCCTGGTCAGAGACTGCAACAACGGCAGATTCTGAACACACACCTGATCATGGCTGCCAGGAGATCTATCCCTCTCATGCACATGAGGCAGAGCCCCCTGTGCGCCGCCTTGGAGACCCTCGCTACCCTGAACTTCTTCGTCGTGACCCAAGATAGATAGATTGTGTCCTTCCGCTTCAACTCCATCCATGACTTTTCTTCGCTTAGAATGAGATGACTTGTGCGAGCGGTCCGTGGACGTGCGCTTGCGAGAGCTTGCAGCAGTCTCCTGAGCCAAGTTTGCATTCTCGGCAGATTTTTGAGCAAACATGGCTTGAAGTGCAGGTGTGGCTAGATCAAAAGAAGGTAGGACGGTGCCGGATATTGCCTTGACTGCATCCTGGTGTCGTCGATAGGTTGTATCAGCGACTTCTGTCGGAATCTTGCAGTAGATCCCGCAGTGGCATATACGAAGCCGCTGATCTCGCCTTGTGCTCGGATCCTTCGGAGGCATGATAGAGAAGTTTTCTGGGAGTGTAGAGAAGTGCCGGTTTGTGGTAGAATACAGCTACGGAGGCATTGACACAGCTAGCTCGCAGTCAAGGCAGTCTGAAGCGAACCGTGTCAAAGCGCCCGCAGCGAAGACAAATGAGGGCAAGCAAAACAGGAAAGGAACCTCTTGAGGGCAGCGCAGAGGCCAAGGCGACGTGTCTCAGTCTGAGGCAGCTCAGGTCGCAGGTTGCTGGAGAAGCAAGAGGGCTCTAGGCGCCACAAAGCTACATGGGCGGTAGGTTTCGCTAGATTGGTCCCAAATACATATCAAATGGGGTATATACAGCTACATTCTGCTACATTCCGCTAGATCGCCTTTTGACTGGGGCTCAGCGGTCGGGCAGCCGCCTATATGGTGTAGAAGAGGTGACATTCCGAGAGGTCAATAGCGCCACCCTGGCGGTCCTGCAAGTCCTCTTCGAGCCCACGACGCTACAGAAAATCACGCTGCTCGGGGAGAAAAGTTGGTACTGGCAGAGCGACAGCTTCTTTGTGTCGTTTAATGTCTTTCTGGAAACAACCTGCCAAGGAATTACGCATCTGTCATTGAACACTGGATACCTCGGGCGCGGTAAGCTCGTACTTGTGTAACTTGTCAGTCTGATCTTCTACACTAACAGGCTCTATCATAGATGGCTGCGCTCTCACTGCGCTGCGCTCACTTTCCCGCCTCGAGATTCTCGAGTTGAATATCCCGCGAAATCTTATCCTCTCTGCGTCGGTACAGTTTGACAAGGCACTCGCGCATGCACCCGAGACACTGAGCCACCTGCGTCTGAACCTTTCACCCATGGCA